AAAAATTTTAAAAATGTTTTAATTATTATTACTAATTTTAATGAAAACTTAGAGACTGGATTTCCATTCATTCATTGTTGCACTTTTCTTCCTGCCCACCCCTTCCCCCTTAGCTTTATGTCTTAAAGATTATGTCAGGGCAATAGTTTCAGGAGTTCCTATTTTCATCTTTATCAATTATGCTGGACTCTTCCCTGTGAAAGAGAGACGAGCCCTTTTTAATCACTTGCTAAGCTGCTGAGAGCTGAACAGTGAATAAAGATGGCAGAGAAGAATCAATGCCTTTGAACTGTAGTGGTGAAGAAGAGTACTGAAGATCCCATGGAGTGTCAAAAGAACAAACAAATATATCTTGGAGAAGGTGCAGCCAGGGTGCTTCTTAGAGGCATTAAAGCTTCGTCACATACTTCGAGCATGTTGCTAGAAGAGGCTATTCCCTGGAGAGAGAGACATCACGCTTGCAATGGGCCCAAGTGCATCAGAGATTGTGAGGATGCCACAGGATAGGTCAGGGTTCAGATCTGTCATTCATAGAGTAGCTATGAGTGCTACTTCACTGGAGGGTACCTAACAATAACTTTCCTGTGGCAAGGAACAAAACACCTTCAGCTATTGCACTAACACATTCAGTTATCTCACTTAGCTGGAGTTCTTTGAAAGGAGTGATACAGAATAAAGGGCTAGAACCCGTTTCCACACCAAGGCGGAGCCAGTGCGTGCAGGCCGCAGCAGGGGTCATCATCTGCTTCAGTGCCCCAGAGCTTCTGCTACTGTCGCGGATGGTCACTACGCACCGGCATCTCTTAATTCTCCTTATGCCTCATTGGTTCTACTTATGTACGACTTCAGCTGCCCCTGCTCTACTGTTTCCTAGTTTCTCTCTCTGCACTCTTATCCGCCTGATATCTGTTGACTCTCACATGTGTTAGCTTTAAATATGAAATGTTATTATGAATCCTGCTTTAATCTCCCTCATAATCACCTCCAAGTCAATCTTCCTCCACTGAGCTGTTATTTTGAATGTTATATTTGAGGGAAGAGACAAACACAACCAGTGTTTACAATGCCCTCACCTTCCAGTTCATGATGCAGCCGCAGTGTGTCCCTTGTGAACAGCTCAGGTCACGCACACAGATGTATCAGCAGGGAGGAGGCTGGGAGGTCGGGCTTTGCTGTTCTGGGGGAAAGAAAAGAAACAGAGATCCATTTGGATTTTATGGAACAGACCACCTTAGGAAGACTAGGAACAGAAAAGGTAGCAGGAGCACAAAAAAGTACAGAGGGGTGTGTTCAGTGCCATGAACAAGGCTATGGAAGGTCTGCTTGAAATCTGACAGGCAGGACAAGGTCTGAGAGGCTCCCGTTAAGCCTCAGTATCTCTTGGGAAGTTCTCTCTCCTGGGATACAACACATTACTGATGTGGAGGCAGCAGTGATGCTCCTCCTATAACATACATATACCCACTCCACTCATCTGCAGACAGAAGAGGTTTAAAGCCAGTTCTGTTCGGTCCCATTTCTTTTCAATATTAATTTCTGTACAGTTCTGATTCTAACCGTCTGCAATTAGGTCAGATCATTTTAAGCATTGCATAGTCTGCACAGCCTCCATATACCAACCAGCAGTTCAGGCGTCCCCAGGAACTCCAGCATTTCTTCCCTGATGGCTACAAATTTAGGGTCTAGTACCCTTTCAAGGTTTGATAATTCACAAGAATGACTCAGAACTCAGAGAAGTACTATAGTTAATAATGTTATGTTCCATCGAGTCGCCTGTGATTCATGGTTACCCTATGTCTAACAGCTATGAACACTGCTCTATCCTGAGCCAGTCTCACTGTCTGACACACCTACTCTCATTACCCCAGTTACGATGCCAATCCCTCTCATCCAGGAACTTCCTCTCCTGTGCTTGTTCTCCATCCTTCTACACATGATGTCCCTCTCCAAGGACTGGTCCCTCTTGGCAATGTGCCCAAAGTATGTGAGATGGAGCTTCAAAATCCTTGCTTCCAAGGAGCAGCCTGATTTCACCTTCTTCAGGGTGAAACAAACCTGTTTGTTCTCTTGATAATCCATGATTTGTTCAATAGTTTTATTATAAAAGAGACAAGTCAGACCAGAACAAAGAGGAAGCACACAGGGCAAGGTCTGGAAGGGTTTCCCTCATGCAAATTCCATATCCTAGGGTATGTATTTACTGTCCAGGTATATCATTGTCTACCACTAACCAAGAAGCCTACCTGGGCTTTTGTATCAATGGTTTTTGCTGGAGTTCCATACAGAGAACTGACTCATTGTCTATGTGATTGTATTGTCTCCAGCTCCTCTCCCAGAAGTCACTGGTGTGAGGCCACCTCACACCCTAAGTGACCGTATTAGCAAAAACGACTAGATGTAGTATGGAATCAGACTCTCCAAATGTCTGAGACATTCCAAGGGTTTACCACACAAGAATCAAGAACCAAGACCAAATTTAAATCCAAAATCTGTATCTGCACACAACTCCTCTGAGTTAGGAGTTGATTGTAGGTGTTTGCCATTCTGTTTCTTGAGTTTTCTGAATATTAATGAGTTAAGGCTATCTTGATTTAAAAAAAAAAATCTTGTAAGGAAGGTAGTAAAATCAAACCCAAAACACATAACCACCCCCATGCCCAACCAATCTGGATTTTGAATTTGCTCTGTAATGTGAGGTAGGCCTTGGGTAAGGTGGGAAGCAGGCTGAGGGCAGGTTTTACGTTCAGTTTCTCTATGTTCCTATTTTGGGAATATAACACAAACCCCAGAGTTGCCTGCTTTGAACTGTGGATGAAAACCCTACACACCCTGGTAAGTGACTTCCCTCTCAATGTCAATAGTCTTTAGGGACCCTACTTTTTTTTAAATTCAATGACTCACACACCACAGTAATCACAGTTAGAGAGGATGGTGAGACATCCTCTCAACATATTTGGGTATAAGACCTAGAAGTAACTCAACAAGACAGACTTGCAAAGTGATTGCAACAATGGACTTAAGCACAGGAGAAATTGTGAGGAGGTGAAGGATAGGCAGGGTTTCATGACATTGTTCATAGACTCGTGATATCAGAGATTAGCTCAATAATAACTGTTACTGTGCCAGGCCATGTTCAAATGCTTGACTCATTAACTGATTTGGCTCAAAACAACGCTGCTGTAGGTGTTGCTAGATGCCTTCAAGTTGAGTAAGACTCACAGTGATCCTATAAACAACAGATCTGAAACCTACCTTTATCCTCGTTATCTCTGCCACACTAGAGCCCATGGTTATAGTTACTCTGTCAATCTATCTTGTTGACAGTCTTCCCTTTCTTCACTGTCTGTCCACTTTTTTGAGCAAAATGTCTTTCTTCAAAGACTAGCCCCTCCTAACAAGATGCCTAAAGTAAGTGAGAAGTCTACCATCCTTCCCTCTAGAAGCATCCTGGCTACACTCTCTCTAAGACATAGAAGTTTATTCTTTCAACCCTAATGAGGTATAATTTAGTGTCTCTATGTTAGATATGAAGAAATAGAAAGTTTAAGTAGCAGGGCTACGTGGGTAGCACTGGGATTTGAACCTAACCCGTCTGACTCCAGACCTTTAACTTAAGTATCATACTGAGACAGCCATAAGCTTGGTACTTTAAAATCTTTCCCTTAAATGTGTTTACAATCAGAATTAAGAAAAACAGAACAATAGTTGACAAGAATTTAGAATAAAGATATAAGATGAACTTCAAGAAAGGTATTTCATAAAAATTATCACCCACAAAAACATTGCATTTATAGGAAAATTTCATATCTAATCTATTGATGATTACAATATCTTGAAAACAAGCTGGCAGCTGGCACAAGACAGCCAAGTTTTCCCCATGACTTTTACCAAAGTCAGATAAGCTAGTGAAAGGAATTTCAACCATAAATTCATTTAAATGTGATGACTGAAAGGGTTCAATACTTTCACACATAAAACAGGCAACTTTTCTTTAAGTAGTAACAAATTCTAACCTGTACTGGATAAATATGTCCCTAGCATGACCCAAGTCAGGGTCTTTTCAATTATTTGATACACATTTGAGAGTTAAACAATGACTAAGGATGACAGAAGAACTGATGCCATCGAGTTGTAGTGTTGAAGAAGAATACTGAATTAAATACCCCAAGGACCTCCAAATGAGTAGATGTCTTGGAGACAGTGCAACCAGGGTGCTTTCTGGAGGCAAGGATGATGAAGCTCCATCTCACATACTGTGCACATGTTATGAGGACAGGCTACTCCTTGGAAAAGGGCAGTATGCTTGGAAAAGTGGAGAGTCAACAAACGAGAGGAAGCCCTCAACAAGATGGGCTGACACAGTGACTTCAACAATGGGCTCAAGGATATCAGAGAAGATGAGGGTGGTACAGGAGAGGGGTCAGACTCGTTGTTTATAGGACTAATTAGTCAACTTGACAGCACATAAACAACCATGTTATTAAGCTGTGGGAAGAATTTTAATTTTGAGTAATTTCTAATATTTTTAGGATTTTCTGTTGTTAGTTGTCATCAAGTCAACTAAGACTCATGATGACCCTTTGAACAACATATCTGAACCCTGCCTTCCCTATCTTATGCTGTCCTCATCATCGCTGATATGCCCAAGCACATTTTGGGATTAGCCAGCAGTATAAATAAAAATATTTAAACCTATATAGATTTCATATGATTCCTACTTTAGGAGATAGTATAATCCTATGCTGCACTGCTAATGTGACATAGTGTATTACCTGTTGCACTGCTAATCAAAAGACAGTGACTGGAAGATGGGCTAACACAAATCAGAGATCCTGAGGAAGGCTCAGCATAAAGCAAGGCTGTGATCTGTTATTCACAGGGTCACTATGGGTCTTAACTGGCTTATAGCACGTTTTGTTACTATTGTGTAGGCTGAATCAGAACCTACCCAGAGCTGACCCTCCAGTAGATTTTGATAAGCAGCAAATCACACAGTAAATCTTGGAGAAGACTGCCAGTCTTTCTCCTATGGGGAAGCTGGTGGGTCCGAACCACATACCTTCGGGTTAGCAGTGCAATTCCTTTACTCTAACCACCAGAGCTCCCTAGATAGCACCTACCAACAACAAATGTTGTTGTTAGATGCCACTGAGTTGAGTACAACTCATAGCAACACTATGAACAGAAGATCTGAACCCTGCTCTATCCTGTGCCATCCTCACATTTCCCGACACGTAAGAACTCACTGCGGCAGTCACTGTGTCAATCCACCCACTTGAAGGCCTTCCTCTTCTTTGCTGCCACCCACCCCCAGCAACATGTCCCTCTCCAAGGAATAACCCCTTCTAGCAACATGTCCAAAGCATGTGAGGTAAAGCCTCAGCATGTCAATTCTTCTTCTGTCATCTTTATTCAACAAAATATATGTATATAATACGTGCATACTATATGATCCAGAAAGCATCAAAAGAACACGGCAGGAGTACACAGTCAGTATGTCAAAAAGAATTGGCTGACAAAACTACTTCAGGAAGTAGTATCTGATAAAGAACCAGTGGTAATAAAGACGCTGGCAAAATATAAGTTTCTAGGAATTAATAAAATACCAATTAATATATTACAATAAATAGATGCAGTCCTGGATGTGCCCACCAGCATATGCCAAGAAATCAAGATTTTTTCCTGGCCAACTGACTGGAAGAAATCCATTATTTGTCCTCATTCCCAAGAAAGGTGAACCAACAGAATGTGAAAAATGAACAGTATCATTAACATTACATGCAAGCAAAATTTTGCTTACGAACATTAAAAAAATGGTTACGACAGTATATTAGCAGAGAACTGTTAGAAGTTCAAGCTGGGTTTAGAAGAGGTCATTGTACAAGGGATATATCATTGGTGACTTTAGATGGATCTTGGGAGAAAGGAGAGAATAGCAAAAGCATGCCTACTTGTGTTTTACTGGCTACGCAAAGGCATTTGACTATGTGGATCACAAGAAAGTATGGTTAACATTGGAAAGAATGGGAATTCACATGAAACCTAGACCTAGAGGAAGTGGCTGTTGTCTAAATAGAGCAAGGGA